ATTATTTGCACAAGTGTTGTACATCAGAAATCGAGGATTTAGGGTGTGGACGTTATCGACTCGACGAGTCTGTTCTTGGGGCTCGACAAGTCCAATGCTTTGAGTCTCATATCTGTTGAGGGTCAAAGGAACTCAGTTGGGTGTTATAAGGGTTGTAGCAGGACATAAGGAGTGACCCAACGCATTGGACTTAGTTTTAGACTTGGAGTTCAAGGGACTCGAAGAGTGCTAGAACAGACTCGGTGAGTCCAAGGCAATCTTATTATGTTTGAAGATGAACTCAACGAGTTGTTCATACAACTCGGCGAGTCAAGGTCAGGACTTGTTCATCAGATGAAGGTGAACTCGATGAGTTTTTCATACAACTAGGCGAGTCGGATGAAGGTTCATTGATGTTCGTAAAGAAGGGGAACTCGTCGAGTCGTTGCCAAACTCGACGAGTCGAGTCATGGATAAGGACGAGTGAATGGTAGGGACTCGATGAGTTCACGACCCAACTCGACGATTCAGGTCAACTAGAAGTTAACTTTGACTTGGACTTGGTTGGGAGTAAAATAGTCATTTTAACCTAAGAGTAGATATCAGATTCTGACTGAGTGTTTTGTATGGATTATAGCCGGAGGATTTCCGGAGCAGTAGCAGACAGAGGTTTCCCACACAGATTATCAACAGCTACTCGTATGAGGTGAGTTACCTTCCAGTAGGGGTGGGTCTAAGGCCACAATGTCAGCCCACCAAAGAGGAATATTAAAGAGATGATTGTCTTTGTGATAATTATCTTGGTCTGGTTATGTGCCTTGGTTATGAGATTTATCTGTATGATATGTTATGTGTATAGTAGGGATCAGTTTCCCTGACAGTGGTCCTTAGGACCGAAGGGTAGGTCAGTACTCGGATATGCCTGATTGTATGTTTATATATTGATGTTGTATGCTAGTGGTAGGGGGTGGAATAGTCCCCAGTTACCAGTTGAAAGATACTGATGATTATTACCATTTAAAAGATACCGATGGAAGTTACCAGTTGAAAGATACCGATAATGATTACCGGTTGATAGATACCGATGATATTGTATGGTATGTGGTATGATGGGGGAGCTCACTAAGCTTTGTGCTTACGGTTTTTGTTTTGGTTTCAGGTACCTCTTCGTCTAAGGGGAAGGAGTCAGCGGCGTACCATCGCATCACACACACACATGATTCCACATCGGATTTTCTGGGATTGCACTATGATTTTCATTATTTTGATGTCATAGTTTGGGACACAATATTATGATTTTGTAATGTGTTGCTTTATTGATAATGCTATGGTAAAATGTTTTAAAAATTATTAATTCAAAAATGAAATTTTTGGGCTTGAATTTTGGGATGTTACATTGTAGTTCTTGGCCTTTGAAATCTTTAGCACCTCAAGTGTGATGCCTCTATTGTGTCACAAACACCAAATGCAAAAGGAGGCTTGAGATAATAAGCTATTTAGCTTAAAATCGATCCTCACTCTCTTAGAATGAATGGGCAACTGATTTTAGCTCTAGGGGTTTGCTTTTATAGTTTTACAAAGCCTAGGGTTTCATCCATGCAAACGCTAATGAACCATGACCCTTAATATTACTTAGGCTCCATGGGTTAAACCTTCATGGACTATCATATTGGTTTACCCCATCCTAATTAACCATGGATCATTGGCCCACACTATAAGAATCGTTGATTTACTTAATCAGTTGTCGTATATTTAATCAGTCTCTTTTGATCACTAAATTAATTCCTAATTAATTCTTGATCAATACTAATTAAACAATATGATTTCTCGGTTAATATATTATACTCATAATATATTAATAAATCCCAAATAAGCTTATTCTCAAAAGTCCATCCTATCAAATTGCACTGGTCAATGCAACACAAAAGGTGTATGCTACTATTGAATCAACTACATCCCAGATATAGTTATGGGCTTAGACACCAAATCCAACAAATGTGTGTAATGCGTGGAACGATACAAACACAACACATTTTTAATCGTATTACATGAAAACACAATTTATATGAATTTACAAATACGTTTACATTAAATTGTTATGCATGAAACAAAAACTAACATTTAAAAAGACATTAATTAATGTCTTATACGCGTCTTATACAGGTTTATAAGGTTTGAATGTCACACAAATTTTATGTTTCTTATACTTGTTTGAATGGGTAAATTAATGATTTCTGTGTTTAAAACACAAAACACTAATACATATTTTTTATAAATGGGAATTTTACATCCATTAAAGTTTTATTAATAAATAAAAAACAATATAATAGTAAGTTAGGTACTCATCAGTTGTGGATAGGAGAGGGCCTATGTTACAAGCCATAGGAACCATAAGCATGGAGAAAACTAGGAAAACAAAATCAATGAGGCCCAAACAAGCGCCAATCCCAATGCATATACATAAGGAAACATAAAAAACATAAATAAAAGATAAAGCATAAAGAGAAGGGAAGAGATAAACATTTAGACTAAGGGTCAAAGTGAGTGTTTTGTGGCAATAACTTCATCACGCAAAGGAAGTCTTCAAGTGACCTTAGCTTTAGTGACATTAGGGGATAGGTTTAAAATAAGGCTCATAAGTCTCAAAAGAACATCATTAGTAATAGTCTTAACCATCATTTCATATGATCTTTCTCTTATTAGAGAAGATAATATCATTTCTTTCTATCCATAGGTGGTAGACAGTACCTGCAATCACTAAAATAAAACTAATAGACGAGTGAAGTCGATCTACTTACCAAGAACATGGCTAAAAAATATCGTTCGTCTATCACCAAGCTATAAAATAATGAAATCTTTAATCTTATGTCAATATCACTCTCAACCGTGACATCCCATGAATAGCAGCTGGTCAGATGATATGAGTGGATCCATTTTACCCAAAGGAAATCGTATTTATACGGATACCCCAATTATAAGCAGGAATGAGAGCGGTGTTTTGAGAAGTAAGTCACTTTATGCCAAGACCTCCTTGAGTCTTCCTGAATAACCTTGATATAGGCTAATCTCTCAAATCACATGAAAAACATTAGGGTTTTTGTTTTTTTTCATCTCACTTTGTGTGATTTTAATATACGAAGCTTTTGGTTGTTTGTCCTTGGTTTGATTTTATCTCTAAAAACTCACTTCAAAGCATTTTCACTTCTGTATGCTCGATTTACATCTACTTTTTTGGATAAGTTTATCGGCCCAAAGAAAACTCGAAACTCACACAATACCTTTCAAACCATGCGAACCAAGCAACTGTGTCCCAAATGGAGGCAAGTGGTCACCCAGATTCTTTTGATACAAAGTCATGGTTACTTTTTATCTTATTATCATTAGGAAAAAAAGTTAAATTTATCTCAAATATTAATTTGTTTCTATTTTTATTTGTTTTGCCCTTTTAGTAAAACAACAATTATTATTATCAAGTACTATTGTAATCCACTTTTACTTTTAGTTAATAAGTTAAATCTTTGTTTATACAATGATATTTTACCTTTTTCCATCCGAATTTAAGCGAAAAATGGTTATTCAAACGAAATATACAACCAAATTTTATAGATTTAACCAATTGTAACATAACCACAACTTGTGTTCAAAACGACTTATTGTATAAATCCTTATAAAAGAAAACATTGTTTACATCAATAAGCATTTAACCAATGTCATGTCACATTCTGAGAAAACTAGATTCGAGTTACAATGTTATTACAGATGTGAGTAGTTGTTGCCAATGACATTGCCCTTCATTTTCACACACATAAACATACAAACTATGTGCTCCACACTACAAGACTTTAAGTAAGAATCTTTTGATTTTTTTTTTTTTTTTTTTTGAATTTATTTGGGCAGTGATTATGGCCCCTAAGTTATCACATAACATATGAAAAATTGTATTTCTAAGTAGGGTATCTTATTATATCATGAAAAAGCAAATCATAGGCAAAAAGCAACCTTGATTGCAGGAAATGGATGTAAACATAGTAACCAGTAATAGTAAATCCTCTTCCCACAATCTCTCCAGCACAATACCAAGCAAAACATTGCAACCCAAAAAGAGCAGCAATTCCCATATCTTCAGGATTAGGGTTATATACCAAAAAAATTCACCCTTACTTTTCTAATAAATGACAACAAGCAGCCTAATTCTTTTTCTCTAATGCTAGTCTAAATTATACAAATGGTTCCCATCATTTTTGTCCATTCGTATATTTAGTCCCTTTGGTATTTCTGTTAGGTGGAAGTTTCATCATCTCACTTTGTGTTAATTTAATCGATATAAGAAGTTTTTGGTTGTTTTACCTTGGTTTGATTTTATCTTTAATAAGTCACTTCATAGCATTTTTACTTATGTATGCTCAATTTACATCTTCTTTTTTCAACTGAGTATACCGGCCCAAAGAAAACTCAGAATCACAAAATACCTTGCAAACTACGCTATCCAAGGAATCGTGTCCCAAATGGAGGCATGTGGTCACCCATATTCTTTTGATACAAATTCATGGTTACCTTTTATCTCATTGTCATTAGGAAAAAAAGTTGCATTTATCTCAAATATTAATTTGTTTATTTTTTTTCCTTTTTAGAAAAACAACAAATATTTTTATCAAGTACTATTACTTCCCCCCCCCCCCCCGGCACGTGCGCGCGTGAATTTGAACAAAAAGATGGTTCTTCAAACGAAATATACAACCAAAATTCATAAAACTCATATAACCGATTGTAACATAAACACAACTTGTGTCCAAATCCGCTTCTTGCATAAATCCTTATAAAAGAAAACAATGTTTGAATCAATAAGCATTTAACCAGTGTCATGTCACATCCTGAGAAAACTAGATTCTGGTTACAATGTTATTACAGATGTGAGTAGTAGTTTCCAATGACATTGCCTTTCATTTTCACACACACATAAACACACAAACTATGTACTCCACACCAAAAAAGTTAAAGTAACTTTTGAATTTATTTGGGTAGTGATTATGGCCCCTAAGTTGTCACATAACATATGAAAAAATGTATATTTAAGTAGACTATCTTATTATATCTTGAAAAAGCAAAGCATAGGCAAAAAACCTAACCTTGATTACAGGAAATGGATTTAAGCATAGTAACCAGTAATAGTAAATCCTCTTCCCACAATTTCTCCAGCACAATACCAAGCAAAACATTCCAACCCAAAAAGAGCAGCAATTCCCATATCTTCAGTTTTAAACTCATGCCTAGTCTTTACCAGTTGCTTCACATATTCAAGCTCTTTCCAGAATGCATCATAGCGACTTGGAATACTGATTCAACAAGACAAGTGTTCATCAAAAGAATATTCAGGACGATGAGGGCATTTATGTCTTTTTTTCTAGTTATATACATATATTGTTGGAAAGTTGGGAACCTGGCAAGACGAGTGTAAAGTAGCTGATTTGATAAATGTTGACATTTTTCTATAGTTGGTGGATCTTGAATGTATTTCTTTTTTTGCTCTAGTATTTGTTTGTAGTACGTGTTTCCATTCTTGGACAAAAACTTTGAGGCTTCAGCTACCTTTAAACGTAAGACATTCAACTTTGATGCCATAACTTCTACATTATAATAGTGTATAGAAAGGATCAAATCATTTGAACATACAAAAGAAAATGCTAAACATAGGTTGAAACTTGCAATCAGAAATTAAGAGACGTCGATGGTTGTATATAGCCAGTAAGATAAAGGATCAAGAAATTCGGAGTGTTTAACTTTCACTAATTCTAAAAGATTACAATTGGAAAGCATAGATAAAGTTGCTCAAAGATAAAGAGTGTTTGAATTACAATTAATCCACATAATCATCCATTTTAACTAGATGAATATACTCACTGAAAAATGAACCATACAACTTGACCTAAGCTCCACATCCTCAAATCGATCATACCATAGAAATAAAACAGAAGAAATTCTTACATGAGTTCCAAATTAACCAAACGTGTACAGCCATGGGAATACTGAGAGTAGGAATGATGAATTAAGAATATCGAAATAGTTGCATACCAATTGGCGATCAAAAGAATGGTTTTAAAGAATACATTCGCATGTATGTCAAATATTCCCCAAATAAACGAATAGTTTTACAATCAATGATACATTTTACGCATACAATCATCCATTACAAAGAAAAAACGAAATGACATTTATTGAACGTAAGATCCGATAATATTAGGAATTGATCAAAGATGCTATATAATAAACAAAAAAAACTCAATTTACCTTGTTCTTAAATTTGGTACAGTTACAAAGATGGTCGAGAGTGTGGTGAAAAGGGTTCTGAGCGTCCATGGATGAGGGTTATATACCAAAAAATTCACCCTTACTTTTTTAATAAATGACAACAAGGTCCATGATTCTTTTTCTCTAATACTAGGCTATATTATACAAAATTTTCCCATCATTTCTGTCCATTCGCATATTTAGTCACTTTGGTATTTCTATAGTTCCCATCATCTCACTTTGTATGGGATTTTATCGATATAAGAAGCTTTTGGTTGTTTGTCCTTGGTTTGATTTTATCTTTAAAAAGTCGATTTACTTCTTCTTTTTTCGGATATGTATATCGGCCCAAAGAAAACTCAAACTCACACAATACCTTGCAAACCATGTGAACCAAGCAATCGAGTTCCAAATGGAGGCAAGTGTTCCCCCAGATTCTTTTGATACAAATTCATGGTTACCTTTTATCTCATTGTCTTTTGGAAAAAAAATTACATTGATCTTAACTATTAATTTGTTTTTATTATTTTATTTTATTTTATTTTTATTGCCTTTTTAATAAAACAACAATTATTATTATCAAGTACTATCGTAATTCCACTTTTACTTTTAGTTAAAATATTAAATATATGTTTATACAATGATATTTTACTCCCCCCCCCCCCCCCCCCCGCGCGCGCGGGAATTTAAGCAAAAAATGGTTCTTCAAACAAAATATACAACCAAGTTTTCTAAAACTCATCTAACCGATTCTAAGATAAGCACAACTTGTGTCCAAAACCAATTGTTGCATAAATCCTTATAAAAGAAAACATTGTTTGCATCAATAAGCATTAAACCAATGGCATGTCACATCCTGAAAAAACTAGATTCTTGTTACAATGCTATTACAGATGTCAGTAGTAACGACCAATGACATTGCCCTTCATTTTCACACACATTAACACACACAATATGTGCTCCACACCACAAAACATAAAGTAAGAATCTTTTAAATTTACTTGGTCAGTGATTATGGCCCTTAAGTTGTCACATGACATATGAAAAAAATATATTTCTCAATAGGGTATCTTATTATATTATGAAAAAGCAAAGCATATGCAAAAAAGTTAACCTTGATTGCAGGAAATGGATTTAAACATAGTAACCAGTAATAGTAAATCCTCTTCCCACAATCTCTCCAGCACAATACCAAGCAAAACATTCCAACCCAAAAAGAGCAGCAATTCACATATCTTCAGTTTTAAGCTCACGCCTTGTCTTTACCAGTTGCTTCACATACTCAAGCTCTTTCCAGAATGCATCATAGCGACTTGGAATAGTGATTAAACAAGACAAGTTTTCATCAACAGATAATTCAGGGTGACGATGGCATTTATGTCTTTTTGCCTAGTTCATAAAGAAAACAAGATATACATACATTGTGGGAAATTTGGGAACCTGGCAAGACGAGTGTAACGTAGCTAATTTGATAACTACTAACATTTTTCTATAGTTTGTTGACCTTGAATATATTTCTTGTTTTGCTCCAGTGTTTGTTTGTAGTAGGTGTTTCCATTCTTGGACAAAAACTTTGAGGCTTCATCTGCCTTTAAACGTAAGACATTCAACTTTGATGCCATAACTTCTACATTATAATAGAGTATAAAAAGGATCAAATCATTTGAACATATAAAAGAAAATGCTAAACATAGGTTGCAACATGCAATCTGAAATTAAAAGACGTCGATGGTTGTATTTAGCTAGTAAGATAAAGGATCAAGAAATTAAAAGTGTTAAGCTTTCACCAATTCTAGAAGATTACAATTGGAAAGCGTGGATAAAATTACTCATAGATAAAGAGTGTTTGAGTTACAATTAATCAACATAATCATCCATTTTAACAATATAGATAAATAAACTCACTAAAAATGAACCATATAACTTGACCTAAGCTCCTTATCGACAAATCGATCATACCATAGAAATAAAACATAATACATTCTTACATGAGTTTCCAATTAACCATACATGTAAAGCCATGGGAATACTGAGCGTAGGCATGATGAATTAAGAAGATCGAAGCAGTTACATACCAATTGGCGATCAAAAGAACGGTTTTAAAGAATACATTCGCAGGTATTTCAAATATTCCCCCAAAAAATGAATTGATTTACAGTCTATGATACATTTTATGCATACAATCATCCATTAAAAGAAAAAACGAAATGAAATATACTCAAAGTAAGCTCCAATATGATTAGGAATTGATCGAAGATGCTATATTAAAATGAATAGAAATTCAATTTACCTTTGTTCTTAAATTTGGTGCAGTTACAGAGATGGTCGATAGTGAATTTCACCCTTGTTTTTTTAATAAATTACAACAAGGTTCATGATTCTTTTTCTCTAATGCTACGCTAAATTATACAAATGGTTTCCATCATTTTTGTCCATTCACATATTTAGTCCCTTTGGTTGTTTGTCCTTGGTTTGATTTTATCTTTAAAATGTCACTTCATAGCATTTGTACTTATGATGCTCGATTTACATCTTTTTTTCGGATAAGTATATCTGCGCAAAGAAAACTCCAAACTCACACAATACCTTGCAAACCATGTGAACCAAGCAATCGCGTCCCAAATGGAGGCAATTGGTCAACCAAATTCTTTTGATGCAAATTCATGGTTACCTTTTATCTCATTTTCATTAGGAAAAAAAATTACATTTATCTCAAATATTTAGTATTATTATTATTATTATTATTATTATTATTATTATTATTATTATTTTGCCCTTTTAGTAAAACAACAATTATTATTATCAAGTACTATTGTAATTCCACTTTTACTTTTAGTTAAAGTGTTAAATATTTCTTTATACAATGATATTTTACTCCCCCCCCCCCCCCCCCCCCGCGGGGAATTTAAGCGAAAAATGATTATTCATACGAAATATACAACCAAATTCTATAGAGCTCATCTAACCGATTGTAACACAAGTACAACTTGTGTCCAAAACCACTTCTTCCATAAATTATAAAATAAAACATTTTTGCATCAATAAGCATTTAACGTGTGTCATGTCACATCCATAGAAAACTAGATTACAATGTTATTACAAATGTAAGTAGTAGTTGCCAATGAAATTGCCCTTCGTTTTCACACAAGCACACATATAAACACACAAATTATGTGCTCCACTCCTCAAAAATTAAAGTAATAATCTTTTGAATTTATTTGGGCAATGATTATGGACCCTAAGTTGTCTCGTAACATATGAAAAATTGTATTTCTAAGTAGGCTATCTTATTATATTCTGAAAAAGCAAAGCATAGGCAAAAAAGCTAACCTTGATTGCAGGAAATGGATTTAAACATAGTAACCAGTAATAGTAAATCCTCTTCCCACAATCTCTCCAACACAATACCAAGCAAAACATTCAAACCCAAAAAGAGCAGCAATTCCCATATCTTCAGTTTTAAGCTCATTCTTTGTCTTTACCAGTTGCTTCACATACTCAAGCTCTTTCCAGAATGCGTCATGGCGACTTGGAATACTGATTCAACAAGACATGTGTTGATCAACAGAACATTCAGTATGATGAGGGAATTTATGCATTTTTGCCTAGTTCATAAACAAAACAAGATAATATATATATATATATATATATATATATAATAATATATATATATTATATATATATATATATATAATATATAGGAGTAGGTTCAAATGAGAACACAAAAAAGGTTGAGAACGCGAGAACAAAGTAATTCATTTGCGATTCCATGTATTCATTTATGGAGAAATAATAAATTTTTACGTCTTTAATTTCAATTGAAGAGAAAAAGCATATTCATTTTGATTGTGCGTAAAAATTTATCATTTCTCCACAAATGAATACATGGAATCACAAATGAATATACTTGTTCTCGCGTTCTCAACCTTTTAGGTGTTCTCATTTGATCCTTTCCCTATATATATATATATATATATATATATATATTATATATATATATATATATATATTGTGGGAAAGTTGGGAACCTGGCAAGACGAGTGTAAGGTAGTTGATTTGATAACTGTTGACATTTTTCTATAGTTGGTGGATCTTGAATGTATTTCTTTTTTTGCTCTAGTGTTTGTTTGTAGTAGGTGTTTCCATTCTTGGACAAAAACTTTGAGGCTTCAGCTACCTTTGAACGTAAGACATTCAAACTTGATGCCATAACTTCTGCATTATAATAGTGTATAAAAAGGATCAAATCATTTTAACATATAAAAGAAAATGCTAAACATAGGTTGCAACTTGCAATCAAAAATTAAGAGACGTCGATGGTTGTATATAGCCAGTAAGATAAAGGATCAAGAAATTCGGAGTGTTTAGCTTTCACTAATTCTAAAAGATTACAATTGGAAAGCATAGATAAAGTTGCTCAAAGATAAAGAGTGTTTGAATTACAATTAATCCACATAATCATCCATTTTAACTAGATGAATATACTCACTGTAAAATGAA